GGAAGCTAATGTTGCGGATTGCGCCTTGACGACGCTCGGACTTATCCTCAGTCATCTGCATGGCAAAATACCCTAGTGAAGGATGGCTGCAGAAATTAGGTTAGTTGCCTCAACACGATTGAGTTTGCATGAGTAAGGATGGTATTTCCTTGTTCAGCCTTAGTGCTGTTGTCTACCCTACAGAAATACGCGCTCATAGCCTGTAGCAAGTACATCTTGAACACTGTGAATGGAGACACTACCAAGACTATTTGTTGCCGTAGCTTATGGAAATAATGCGTACACGTGTTGTTGAGGCGTTTTGCCTCCACGTGTACGCTTATTGGTGCACATCAATTGTGGCAGTCATTATATTCGCGCATTCGCTACTAACCTTGGAGAAAACATTGGTGCAGAAAAAGGTTGAATGATAGAGTGTTTGAGTGCATGGATGAACGAATGAACGAAAGAATGAATGAAAGAAAGAAAGAATGACTGGAGAAAGGTAGGAAGTAAGGAAGGAAGGAAGAAAGGAAGAACAAAGCCTTTGTCTGCAGTAGGCGAAATAAATGCGTACGTACATTGCAACATCTAGGGCTATGAGTTGACGGCGTACGTACGCAGGCCTATATGCGGGAGGAACGAATTCATGAAAGAATGCGACTTAAATGCCCCAAATCTTTCGTTTAGTAAGGAGAGCAACCAATACCTCGCAACCACGAGATGCGAGGCAAGGTTCATGTGGCCAAAGTTATTTTGCAAATTGTACTCCTCAAATTCCATTTTTACTGTTAGTCGCAAAAAAATTTGCATGTAATATTTGACCTCGATAATGCTATCTGGTCCCGTCTCAGATAGCAACCGATCTTTCTTTCATTGTATGGCATTTGAAACGAGAAATTTGTGCGAGCAATTAATTCTTGCTTGATTTGACTTTAGATGTCTCTGCAGCTTCTGAATACCCTCCTCTCCCCCCCCCCCCCCCCCCCCCCACCCCACCCCACCAATCCCACCCCACTTGATTGTATTTGACACTACATATTTCTCAATTAAGATAGCATACTTGACTAAAAATCTCAAATAAGCATCTATTTCATTGCAATGGTAGCCACGATTTCTAATTTTACCAGTTGATGAAAGTATTTAAAAAAATTACCAGAAAGGATATTTGTGCTTACTTACAAATATTTCAATTAATATTCACTAACTATGTAAATTGATAAACCTCATTCCAAACATACATTCTTCTTGGATAGATACAGTCCGATCTCCACTTCCCTTCCTTTTTTGCACGAAACCCGGTGGCCTGTTTGTGGTCAGTGTCGCGCTTCCACACTACAAAAGGCGTGAGGGCAGTGGCTCTACGAAGTGAAGACGAAGTGGTGGATAGTTAAATGTGCTAGGGGCTTTCGCTTACTCAAGTAAATATTCTACTTGTTACATGCCACTCTTAAGACAGGAGGTATGAGGTTTTACCTGGGAATTGGTTGTATTTGAGTTTGTCATTCGTAAGGTTGGCTTTCATAATTGTGAATATGTCTATATCATATGCATGCAGGATTTTTGGATTTAGATTCTTTTGTCTTGTGACATACCTCCAACATACCACCGAAAGAACAATCGAAGTTGTGAATCGACTTGACATGGACGATTTCTCCTATTAAAGTTTCGTTTCAGGCTGATCGTAATGGTTTGAAGTCAACTGCCGAGTTATAAACTTTTTGACGTATGAGTATACGTTGTTTAGGGTGGACCTCTTGGAAATAAGTCAATCGCTCGCCCCATGAGGAAGAATATATGAGATAGAAATGCAGGAATAAGTTGGCTCATAATAGGCCCTGGACGAATTACCCTTTCTGTGTTGTCTGTTTCCTCAACTCCACTTTAAATGGCTTCCAGTACTCATTCCATCTTCTGCAATGTGTAAACCCATGAAAGGCTTTGGATCTGCCCTTTGTTCTCATTATAGCGTTATGTAAGTTGTGCCTCACAGTTTCGGAAATTTAATTTTTATTTACATATTCGAACTTACAAGCTTTAATTATAGTTAGTGAATCTCCTAAAAACAGGCGAACGTGGCTCCTTGGTCTTTGGATATGATTCGCGCTCTGGGTGCGAGATGTCCCGGGTTCATATCCCGGCTGAGCCCATTCTAATATCTTTGGGGCTGATGATAAATATCAAAGATTCTACCATTTGATATAAGTAATTTATGCAATTGGGAGTGCGTGATAGACTTAACTCCACGTGGTGCACCCTGGACAACGTATATTCATACGGTTAAAAGTCTATTACTCGAAATTTGACTTCAATTTATTATGATTAGCTTCAAACAAAGCTATATAAGACATCGCTCTCTTCAGGGCGAATCAAACATTCCACAGATCCGTGAGCGTAATGCTGGAGGGATGTCACAGGACAAGAAGATCCAAATCCGGAAACTCCAGCATACCTATGATATAGACATATTCATAATCATGGAAGCCAACCTTACTGATGACAAACTCAAATACTACAAATTCCTAGGTTGTATCTTATACCTTCTACCTAAATTCCGGCAAGTTGCAAGTGAAATTCTGACTGGAGTAAAAGAAGGTCTCACATCACACTACGATCTAATCAAGAGTATGGGCTCAACACAAGAGACAAGTGAAATTCTGACTGGAGTAAAAGAAGGTCTCACATCACACTACGATCTAATCAAGAGTATGGGCTCAACACAAGACATGCGAAATAATTAGATTGAGTATTTAGAAATGTCAAAACCACTTCAAGATATACGGGATCTATAATCCACCCCAGAATAGGCCCAACTTTGATCTTCTGAACATCTCGCACAAAATTGTAGTATTAGGAGACTTCAATGCCCATTCCAACAGATGGGGCTATAGGAATACAAACATAGCTGGAAAGGAAATTGAAGACATGCTAAACAGCAACCCTCTAGAACTTATTTACAGTAATAAGGATCCTGCTACATATTTGCACTACAATGGAACCAGAACAACTCCTGAATTGCTCCTGGCTTCAAGCAATATCAACGAGCGTATGCACCAGTAAATAATTGACAATTCTGGTTCTGGTCACAAACTAGTCGTTTCTAGTATTTCCATTGGTAGCAAAAGCATAACAACGAAAGTGCCAACTAAGCTATCATGAAACTTCAAGATGGCTGACGGGTTTAGATTCTTAAACCTTTTAGAGAAGGAATTTCACATAAGTCCCCTCAACTTCAACCAACAGATGTCTTGGTCTAGATGAATGGGTAGTAGCTTCTCATAGAGAATCAAGGCCTTCTCTTTGATAAGGGAACATATTGTAATGTTCCGTGTGACCAGGAGCATTGCATCAATGTTGTTGATTTTATCCCTCCTGTAATTAGTCCTAATGCTTGGTTGTGTGCCTTCTCGAGTGGTTTGAGAGTCACCTCTGTGGCTGTAATGAGTGGCTCACAGCAATACAACATTATTGGCTGAATAAACATCTTGTAAGTGGTGTTTAGGGTTGAGCGTGCTCATCCCCATATGGTAAGTTCACTCTATTGGAGACTCGTTTTGCTACTTTAGCAATGTGACTTTTCCATGTTAGCTTTGTGTCAAACGTCATTCCGAGAAAAGTGAACTCATTGGTTTTTTCTAGGGTTTGAGCAATGTGACTTTTCCACGTTAGCTTTGTGTCAAACGTCCTTTCCAAGATATGGTGAAACTTACTGGTTTTTTCTAGGGTAGTATCCTTGTACCTTAGAAGTTCGGTTTTTTCTATGTTAGTATCCTTGTACCTTAGAAGCGGGCTCTAGGGTAATATCCTTGTACCTTAGTAGCGGGGTTATGCGTGGTAGAATCCTTGTACCTTAAAAGCGGGTTTATGCTGTGACCAAAGGAATGCAGTTTCCGCGGTGTTGATTACCATTCCATTGTTGTCGCACCAGTTTGCTAGTAGTTCAAGTGCACAATTTAGGGCACTTTCTGTCCTCTTCTGAGCGTTTTTCTAAGTAGTGGAATACCATAGAACAAGATCATCTGCATAAAGTAAGCACTTGATGCCCGTGACTGTCTATTCTTATTCGGCTATGTCATTGCTGAAGACATTGAAAAGAGTGCAGCTTGTGACAGCTCCCTGTGGAAGGCCTGTTTGTAAAAGATTGGATTTGGATAGAGCATTTCCATATCTGACTTCACATTATTTTTATTCAATGGATGCTTTAATCCAGTTTAGCATGCTATGCTTAATATCAATCTTTGCCAATATAAGAATTAGCTTCTCTTTCCATACTAAGTCATATGCTGATTTGAAATCGACGAATAGAACCCTAAGGGTATTTCTTGCATCAAGGTCATCTTTGATATGTTGGGAGAAAGTGGCTACTTGTTGGCTAGCTGATCTTTGCGCTATAAAACCTGCTTGTTTACTCCTAAGAATATTGTTGGTCTCAAAGAACCAGGTTAGCCTCCTGTTAACCATTCTTTCCATAAGTCAACATGTGCCTCCTGTTAACCATTCTTTCCATAAATTTAGCCAGCACGCTTGTGGGAAGACAGGCCTATAGTTGTCAAAGTTGCTAGGGTATTTGCCCATCAAAGTTGCTAGGGTCTTTGCCCTTTTTTTAGTACTGGTATTTTGTAGCGGATTAGCTATCTCAATAACCTTGACTATTCTCAGAAAGCTCTATAGCAGTTTCTTCCAACTCGAAAGTCCCCGGGAATTAGCTAAGCTAAGACAGAGTTATAAAGGGAAAAGACTTAGCACGGAGCACGTTTATATATGACGATGCTTTTCTTGAAAATCGGAAATATCTCGAATTTCCAGTTGCATCTCTTCATACATAATATTATCCGGTTAACCGAGAAGGGGTTTCAGGTTCGTTTCGACACTAAGTTGAATTTGTAGCGGATTGCTACGCTAGTAAAGTGTGACCGACTCAGAAATCTCTATGGCAGATTCTCCAACATCCTGACTCAGAAATCTCTTTGGCAGATTCTCCTACATCTAGACCGACTCAGAAATCTCCATGGCAGATTCTCAAACATCTAGCTACCGGCTCAGAAATTTCTATGGCAGATTCTCCAACATCTAGCTAGGAATCAGAAATCTCTATGGCAGATTCTCCAACCTCTAGCTAGAGAACAGCTAAGCTATAGCTCAGCTATAAAGAAAACAGACGTGTAGCACGGAGCGCGTTTATATCTATGGCAGATTCTCCAACATCTAGCTAGACTCCCAAAACAAGCTGAGCTATAGCCCAGCTATAAGGGAAACAGACGTGTAGCGCGGAATACGTTTATTCGGTACGTATATTGATCGCCAAGGGTTAAGTTTGGCAAAGCGATTAGTTATCAGATAACTCTAGATCGTGTGAAAATTAATAGCTAAATATTTCTGAGTAGTGTTCTATAGCAGGATTTCTATTTAGTCATTGATGAAGTTTCCCACATATTACTATGGCAACTTTCCATTGGTTAGGTACGAGACTGGTCTCCCAGATTTTTGTGTCGGCATGGTTTCCTTGGCTTTTGGTTCCATTCTGATTAGAAATTCCGGATGCATACCGTCTTCGTCAGGAGACTTTTTGCACTTTAGCTGTTTTATCGCAGCATTAAGTTTGCAAGGTCTGAATGGTTCAGTAAGTACACTATTTGGAACTGTTGTGTCTTTTTTAATTTCACCAAACTGTCTTACTTGTATCTTTATATCTCTTGAAGACTTTCTGACAAAAGGGTTTTTCTTTAGCTTTTAGGAAAAGAACCTAGTAATGTAGTTAGATGTATAATTAGGGCGAATATGATTAGTAGATAAATTAATTATTGACATGCTGTAGTCGATATTTTTGCTTATTTCTCGTAATCGGTTTTATTGCAATCGATAAACCCACTCTCTCATTGTCATTGTTTTGTCCGGATAGGTTGCACAGTTTGTAAAATCCCATCCCTATAGTTTTAGGCTTTCTTAATACGAGTCGTAAGAATTCAACTATCCAAAATAAGGCTTCTTCCTATAAGTTTTCAGAATTCTAACCGATTTGATGAAGTTGGCAATCCAAAATAAAGTAAAGAAATTTGAACAGTTTTCGGATGACACTAACACATCCGATGAAGTCCAAATCGTATCGGCTATATGTACTGCGTCAATGAGTGGTTAGGGGGGAGTAGGGCAGAGATCTTAGTTGAAGGAGTACTTGGAGTCAGAAATATCGAAGCAATATTCGGATTCAACAGCTGATGGTGCGATCCAGAATAGGAGCTTACAAAGTAAGTAGATTGTTTCTTAGGCTCCCACTATTTCACCTGCAGAGTCTTTGCCTATGACAACGTTCTAATAGAGTGAAAGTACTAGTCTTCAAACTCGAAATACTCCCAGCCTCAACTCCACTGGATATGCATATTTTTGCCCCAAACACCACTGTATATTATGCAATTCTAAGTTAAATAACTTGAGGTAGTGTGAGCAGTGGCCGTCTTAGCTAATCACTTATTAATGTTCATTCAAATCACGTTGACGTTTGTGTTTTCTGGAGCCCGTAGAAGAATTTATCAGATGTAATGCCTAGCCATTGTAGTCCACTTCCTAGCAATCTGCCTACTGCTTGTTTGTGCATGCAGCAAAGGCACTGAAGCTCTCATTACTTTGTCAATTACAATTCCAAACCCAACATCAAAAGCTACTCTAAGATAAACTTGCACACTTGCCACCTTCGAATGGTGAATTTTGGGAAATAAAACAAATTTATGATGAAAAAGGTGGGTGGG